CACGTCCTCAGTTATACTTGGAACTTAAAGGACCCCTAAGCCTGAAGTACAAGATTACTTGTTTTACTGTTGAAGATAAAAAAAAAATGAAAAATAGCCTGCTTCTGGTGCCAGTTCTGACAGATACAAGGCAGGTTCATAAATCAATACATTGTCATAGCTGATCATTCATTTTTGGGCAGCACAGTGGCTAAATGGTTAGTACTTCTGTCTGGCAGTACTAGGATCGTTAGTTCAAATTCCAACCACAGCACCACCTGTCTACAGTTTACATGTTCTCCCTGTGCCTGCGTGGGTTTTCCTCCATGTACTCCAGTTTTCTCCCACACTCCAAAGACATGCTGGTAGGTTAATTGGATCCTGTCTAAATTGACCCTAGTATGTGTAAATTAACCCTAGCATGAATTTAAGTTAAGGAGCTTAGATTGTACACCCCTTGAGGGTTAGGGAGTGATGTGAATGTACAATATATATGTAAAGTGCTGTGTAAATTGACAGCACTATATAAGTACCTGAAATAAATAACTTGTTTTGCCTTCGTCTAAAGATGGACCGTATTTAAAAAACAACACATTTGGCATATGGATTTGCACACATTTTTGGTTGATTGAGTCACATATATAGTTGTTCCAACCTGTTGATTTCCATTTTTCCCTGGTCTTGGTAATATTTGGGGATGGGTGAAATTGAGCATTTCTTTTCAGCAAAAATGAGGAGATTTCAGAAGAACCCCAGATCAAACACTTTGCTCTGACTGTAGGGGAAGTGTCAGAATGGGGGTGAGCAGAGATGATGAACTGCAGCCAAAGCTGCAAAGATCTACCTTGAGCTGGCTTCCCCATGCACCCTTTCTGTGCGCTATGCTGGTCAGCCTGCTTTCTGATCCATGCACCACTTAGCATCCTGTTGCCAGACAGCTCTGCTAAACCTTGGTTCCTTCCTCGGGGCTCCCCTTTGCCCGATGACCTTGTATCCCAGCAAATGAAACATGGCCCAGACTCTCTGTGCCCCATTTCCAGGCAATGCTACAGTTTCCACCTTCCTTCTCACCTCTCATTTGTCCTGCATTAAAAGGGGCCTATTTTAAACCTCAAAAGCCCTGTGCCCAGTTTTTCCAAGTGCCTCACTAGCTGCCATTCTCTGTATTGATATGCTTGTGTACCAACTCTTGCCTGCTTTTGACCACATTTATGCCTGCTGCCTGGACTAACCCCTGCCTTTTTACTGACCTTGTCTCTGCCTGCTGCCTGGAATGACCCCTGCCTGTTTACTGACCACATCTCTGCCTGCTGCCTGGACTGATCCCTGCCTGTTTACTGACCACATTTCTGCCTGCTGCCTGGACTGATATTGATGTTCATGTATTTTTGGACGACAACTACAACAGTATTCAGTAGAGATATATTCTTCAGCCAGTAGATGGAAGTGTTTATACGTTTGTAGTTGCATCTATGGTAAAATTCTGTCTTATCTGTAAATAACATTTTCATGTTTCCTGTTTGCAGTGGAGCGGCAGATAAATACATGTGTACTGTGAACTGTTTGTTCTGTAGGGCTATATACAGAATCGCTAACAAATGACTACTGACTTTTACTGACCAAATTTCTGCCTGCTGCCTGGACTGACCCCTGCCTTTTTACTCTCAATGTCTCTGCCTGCTGCCTAGACTGACCTCTTGCTTGTTAACTGGTTTACTGACCATGTATACACCTGCTGCCTGAACTGACCTCTTGCCTGTTTACTGAGCACATCTCTTCCTGCTGCCTTGACTAACCATTTGCCAGTTTAAGGATCCAGTGTCTACCAGCTGCCTGGGCTGACTTTTCTGCATGTCCCTATGGTCACACTCCACCCGAGGCACCTGTCTCCCTATATTCTGAAAAAAATGTTTATCTTTCCGAACCACAGGTAATCTTTTATCAGCTTCTTATGCTACCTAACCAGTGAAGGTAATAAGTTTAGGGGGCTACCAGCTACTGGTGGACCTACTTGTCTTAAGGAAATGGGTTGTAGGAAAGAAAATGGCTCGATTCCCCCATCAATGCTGACTGACGAAATCCTTTCCATGGAGCTATTGTGTTCTCCTGGTGAGAAGCTGTCCTTGCTGGGAGAACACAGTTATTACTGCTGGCGGCTGCAGCCGCTGGCAATAATTGCATGTTAAAAATCCGACATACTGGTTGTACCCAAATTGATCAATGGATCGACCTGGGTACAGTCAACCTGCCCGTAAGATAGATCGAATCTCGGCCTGTCCCTGATGAACCGGTCGAGATTTGATCCATCTATGGCCGGCTTAAGTGTCAGAAGGGTGAAGAGTGGAGAGGCTGAATTTTTTTTTTGTGGAAAGTTGTAGAACTGAGAATAGCCATTCATGGCAAATTAAGTCTATTAGAAAATATTATAACTAATGTCAAACCATGAAACCATTTTAAAGGGACAGGTCTTCTTTAACATCACATTTCCCCTGTACTACTCCCTCAGACAGTTGCCTAGATTCCTCTCCTTAACTCCAGCTGTGCCAGTTTCTTTTATAATATGATTCGGCCACCAAAATTCCGTTACGCCCACCCGATGTTTTTACACTTCGCAAATAGCAACAATTAACCGCGCGTTTTGCTGGTATCGCCTTCCCACCCCAGATGGGCTGCATTACGCCGGCTGAGCACCAAAAACACATTACTAATACTCTCCTCTTCTGCCGGGCTCACATTTCTGAGGCTGGTGGAATTTTTTTTTTTAATACATATATTTTTGGATAATTTAGCCCACGACACATGGTTTGCATTTCCAATTTTGCAGCAGTCATGTGTAATGTGATTATAATGTATGTAATAGACAGCCTGGCGGGTCGGGGAATTCGATGCAGGTTACTGACAGACCTCACATTAGACGAGGGGGATCAGTATTAAGTGGCGGTTATCCACTGACATAATAGTGAAATTGTTTACTTCGTCTCAGGCTTGGACCGTTTGGTATGGGTGAGTAACGCAGTGCTGGATCAAGCTTCACAAACAAAGCTAAGCTGTCTTGTGATTTGTAGGACGGGAGGAGGGGCGGGAGGAGGGGCAGGCAGAGGAGGCAGTTGTTTTAGGGGCAACATAGCTGGGGCTTCAGCACAGTTCTGTTGCATTGCCAGATTTTTTTTTTCTGCCTGGGCATAGTTAAAGCTGATGTTTAATCTGCCTATATTTTTGCTTTACCTATTCCTCCTTAACCCGCTTATGAACATGCTAGTGGAATTTTTAAATAAAACCATTTTCATGGCATACCTTATTTTAGACCCAGTAATGTCATCACAGGGTCTCTGTGCTAATCTATGCAATGCAGGCAGATAACGGCTGCTGAACAGGGCAGCAGGATGCTGTACAGAAAACATCACAGCACCCTGCCTTAGTACTCCTCTCAATGCAAATACCAGAGTGCTATACAAGGCAGTTTGGGGAAGTTCCAATGTCAGGCTGCATTTGCATGCAGTTCACACTAGCTCACATGTGATGCGTGTCTCCATGAAAAGAACTGCAATCTAATAAATAAACAGGAGGCTATGGAGGAAAGCGCTAGATGTTGCTAGATGTCCTCCAGCCAGGTAATGAGGCATGCTCCATCTGACTTGCTGCATATGTGAGAAGCTCACAGTGTTCAATAAAATTAGAGTAAACAATTTCTGATCTCAGAAGAGGATCCTGTACAACTGTGCAAAACTGAGGGGAAGGCTGGAGATCAGCCATAAAGTATTACTCCGGACAAAACTTCCCTTTTAATTGTTTTATAGAATAGGTAAAGGTCAGAACCTTGTCTGTATTCCCACTGGAGAAATTTTCCCTCACTTCTGTGCTGAAGACCAGGCCAAAAGTAAGAGGAACTCTCTCTAAATTAATGGCAAATCCCACCTGTGATAACATTCTGTCCAGTATGGATGAACAGGAACACAAAACACAATATAAAAACTAGCAGAGGTTCTGAGCTTTATATATTTTTATAGCTTTAAAAACATTTCTTGTGCTGTCTTTGTCGTATTGGGGAGATTTTCCTTCACTTCCTGTCCTGGAGACACAAGAAGTTAGAGAGTTCCCCTCTTAGACAGTTGCCACCAAAACAGATTTCCCAAATAGATTTCCACTCTATCCTTGTTCTAGTGACAACTATAAAAGTTTGGATTTACCATCACTTTTTCTCCAAAAGACAACGGTCAACAGGACAAATAAGAGGGACAATACCAATCTGACAAGGGTTCTAAAGCTGGCTAAAATGCTTCCATTTTTGTTTGATGTTTGTAGAAAAATCATCAGAACATTCTTTCTTGCCATCATTGAATGTAATAAAAATAATACAATTTAATAATAACATTGAATTTAATATAATAATTTAGTTCAAAATCCTATTAAATAGGTTTCTTCACAATATGTACCATTTTCCCAAACAAAAACCAGTTCGAATGTCTTTCCTTTGAGAAGGAAATTGCTTAGCTCCTTCAGATTTTCTTGTTGCTAAGGTTGAAAATGAAAGTCGACTTGACCTCAGTAACTATTATAAAACTGAACAAATGTTACAAAAGATAATATTTTTCAACAAAATTCTACTAGTTTATGGCCAGCTTAACCAATAGCCTACTGGGAACTTATACCCCCTTCCTGCCCAGTCCAATTTCCAGCTTTCAGCGCTGTTGCACTTTGAATGACAATTGTGCGGTCATGCAACACTGTACTCATATGTAATTTTTATCATTTTTTTTGTGAGAGATAGAGCTTTATTTTGGTGGTATTTAATCACCTCTGGGATTTTTATTTTTTCTTAAACAAACCAAAAACCACTGTAAATTTTGAAAAAAAAATGTTTTTTTCTTAGTTTTTGTTATAAATATTTATAAATAAGTGATTTTTCTCCTTCACTGATGTGCGCTAATGAGGCTGTAGTGATGGGCACTGATAGGCTGCACTGATGGGTGGTACTGATGGGAACTGATGAGGAGGCACTGGTAGGTGGCACTGATGTGCATTGACAGGCATCACTGATGGGCACTGAAAGGCAGCACTCATATATGGCACTGATAGGCGGCACTGACTGGCATTGTTAGGTGGCACTAAATGGCACTGTTAGGCGGCACTGATAGGCAGCACTGACGGTCACTGATGCACACTGATAGGCGGCACTGACTGGCACTGATAGGTGGCACTGACTGGCATTGATAGGTGGCACTGACTGGCACTGATGGGTGGTATTGATGTGCACTGGTAGGCACTGAAATGTGGTACTGATGAGGCACTGATGGGCACTGGCAGGTGGCACGGATGAGCACAGAGCTGGCACTGATGGACACTGACAGGTGGCAGTGCTGTGGCTACACAGATCATCAGGGCACACTGATCATCAGTGCTCTGATGATCTGTGTACATGTCCCCTCCAAGGAATGCTGATTACCGGCTCTCCTCTCGAGCTGTCAGCGTGACAGCTCATGAGGAGAGAAATGCCGATAACCGACATTTCCCTGTTTACATGTAATCAGCTGTGATTGGACACAGCTGATCACATGACCGAGCCGACATCTTCGGCTCTTTCCGTGGATTGGTGATCCGCTGTGTCCGAGGGACACAGCGCACCGTTGATCGCCACGCTGCGCACTCCTGGAGCTGCACATGCGCGGTTAGAATGGAAGGACTGTAACGGAACCTGACCCCGACTGCACTTGGGTGTAGGACTCCACTGTCAGAATACACTGATCAGTGCATCAGCCGACTGGTGGAAAGAACTGAATGAATGGAAATTTTCCAACTTTCCTATGAGAGAAGCCAATCATTAGAATGACATATCTCTAGTGGGAATGGTCATAGATAGGTCAAAATTCGACTAGTACCTATTGATGCGGCCACATTTCGATCCATTTATAGCCAGTTTTAGACAGAGAAAGGTTTTTATGAGGGGAGAGTTCAAGTGGTTGTACAGGCTCAAGCATTTTACCTTCATGCTGAGATAGCAGAGGGAGTCCAATCACAGCTAGTGAGTAGAAAGAGGGCAGTGCCGAGCTAGGGCTCTGTTTGTGCATGGACACACAGAGCAGCACCTTAAGAGCGAGCATCCTTGGGTGCCCCTATAGCAAGCTGCTCGCTCTGGGGTCACTAGGCAGGAGGGAGGGGTCAGGCATGCCGAACCTGAGAAGAGGAGGATCAGGGTTGCTGTGTGCAAAACCACTGCACAGAGCAGGTAAGTATAACATGTTTGTTATTGTTTTAATTGCCTTTAAAATCAATTTAACTGCATTAGCTCTGCCCATACCAGAAATACTGCTACATGGTGGAAGCTATGTTCAAAATCACGTATGTACACGTGATTTTGCATTTCCGGGTATACATGGCCACGGCTGTCAATCATTGGGTCCCGGCTGGTGATTACTCGCCAGTGCCTGGTGATTGCCGAGCATCTCCGATGGGAAGGGGGGGGGGGAGAACTGTTTGTAAACAAAACAGTTCTCTCCCCTGTCAGCTCCTGCACACTGCTTTGCATGGCTGCACAGCCATGCAAAGCAGTGTCCTTACAGTGAAGCACTAACACAGCACACTTAGTTAAATGGCACACAGCACACAGTTAACCCTTTGATTGTCCCACATGTTAACCTCTTTCTGCCCAGTGCCATTAATACAGTGTCAGTGCTTTTTTTTTTTTTCACTTACAATTTTTATTGATTTCAACAAAGAAGTGATACAGAGTAATAAAAGCGTTTATAACTGCTGTAGTTACATTTCTGAGCAGATGACATTCAGGTAACACACTATAGTCGTATATACAGGATGCACACCAGTAAGAGATGGCGTGCATCCTGACCGGGGTATCAACCAAAGCAAAGATAGCAAAAAAAAAAGAAAAAAAGAGAGCTACATAAGGTATGTTGAGCAATTCAAGCCAAGTATTGTCATAATATAATCATAGATGGGGGTAATCAGATGGGTTTCACCATAGATATTCTGGTGACAGGCAGAAACTATGTGATGAGAGGGTCACTGGGGAGACCATTCAGCCAGGGTGATCAATTTCCTAGAAATTTGGGGATTTTTAAATGAGCTTCAGCAAACATATATTAGTGTTTAGTGCTTTTTATTAGCACTGATCACTGTATTGGTGTCACAGGGGATGTCAGTGACACCAAGTCATTTCCACCCAGTGTCAGAATGTCCGCCGCAGTCTCGCTATAAGTCCCAGATCGCCGCCATTACTAGTAAAAATTAAAAACATTTTTTAAAAAGCCCATTATATATACCACCATTTGTAATTGCTACAAGTTTCATGTAAACCAATTAATTCACATGTATTGGGATTTTTTTTAGCAAAGACATGTAGCAGAATACATTTTGCCCTAAATTTTTGATGAAATGTTATTTAAAATTTTTTATACTGGACATGTTTAATAGCAAAAAGTCAAAATATTGTTTTGTTTTTTTTCAAAATTGCCGGTCTTTTTTTTTTTTCTATGGCGCAAAAAATTAAAAATGCACAGATGATCAAATACCACTGAAAGACACCGACACGCTCTATTCGTGGGAAACAAAGGACATAAATTTAATTTGGGTGCAGCGTTGCATCACCGCGCAATTTTCAGTGAAAGTGACGCAGCGTCGTAACACAAAAAATGGCCTGGTCAGGAAGGGGGGTAAATCCTCAGGAGGACAAGTGGTTGGATAGAGCAGAGCCCCTCCATAATACTTCTGGATGGGAGAGTTAGAGAAAGAATCAGAGTCCTGCAGTGGTACAGAGTGTTTTAGGGGTGAATGCATTTTAAAATAATATTCATGTTCACACACTGTAATCTACATATTTAATCCTAGTGGTCTAATTATTTTGGGAAGCAGATTTGCCTGTGACTATAGAACTGATTGAAGAGGGGGTGGAAATTCAGCTGAAAACATAAAAACCCATGACGTGCAAATCACAATGCTTTGATATATTTCAGCAGCGAAGAGCACCTTTCATGTGATGACGACACTTGGTTATGGTCACTGGTCATACAGAATGTACATTCCAATGATTTCACTAAAAATTAGCACGCTTCTTAAGGAGAGAGAAAAGAAGCATGCATCTGTGTTTTGTTTTCATGAATATTTTCTGTTTAACCTTTTCATGTTTGTTCAGGGTAGATCTATGTCTTAAAGCCATAGTAAACCCGCAGGTTCATGTCATAATGTGCTACTATGTACTGCACTGCTAACAGGGCATCTATCTTCACCCATTCTTCTTTTTGGGTTCACGGGCTTCGGCTATTTGAATGGCTATGTTGCGATGACGTCACCCCGTGCATGTGCATGGGAGACACAGCCACTGCACAACTCTCTGAATGGAAATCATGCCTTCCATTGAGAGTGCAGTGTGCATGCGCTGGTGATGTGACCTGCTGCTACACATCGGAAGATCTCCTAAACAGTGCATGATTAGAAGATATTCACTGTACCTACAGGTAAACCTTCTTATAGGCATACCTATAAGTACAAGAGAAAAAGTGGAGTTTACTACCAAGTTAAAAAAAAGTAGCAATGTCTCTGAATTCAATTGTTGCCAATAAGAGAATGTCTGAAATGCAAGACAGCACCTGAATTTGACCTGGTATTAGCCTTTTGGAGTCTGTGTACAGCAGAGCACAGAGTGGTAGAGGAAGATGCAGTACAAAGAGCAAATCAATCCATAGGCTGACAAGGAGCATGCTGATGTGAGGAGATAGCAGAGTGACAAAGAGATAAGCTCATAACTGTTCTGCTTCTACTTCACCATCCAGTCAGAAGCTGGAGGCTGGCCCATGATAGCCTGTGCTTAGAGTAAGGGTGTTGAATGATACTGGCTGTAATTAAAGCGGAGCTCCTCCGAAAAGGGGAAGTTCCGCTTTGAGCCTTTGTCCCCCACTCCCTGTTAAGGATTGGCACCTTTGGGCGATCAGAAGCGGAAGTTGTCCTCCCCCCTCCCTCCATCCCCATAGTTTTCTGGGACACGTGACAGGTCCCAGAAGACTACGGGACCATTCACATAGCGTAGCGCTTCTCGCGCATGCGCAGTGGGCACCCAGCTGTGAAGCCGCAAGCAGTCACAGCCAGGTGCCCACACTGAAGATGCCGGCGCTGGGGAGAGAAGACGGCTGGTTAAGAACACCGCTGGACTCCGGGACAGGTAAGTGTCTGTATTTTAAAAGTCAGCAGCTACAGTTTGTGTGGCTACTGACTTTTATTTTTTTTTTAAATCAACTGGAACTTCGCTTTAAACATACTCCTGATACCTGCATTTTGTCCATTATATACTCCTGAGCCCTGCACTCTGTATGTTATATACTTTGACCCCTGTGCTCTGTACAAGTCTTAACCCCTCCCACCGTTAGCACAATTTTGCCACAATTTTTCTTCACACCCACACTGCCTGCAGGCTAAGGGAGGGTTGGTCAGGCTCAGGCCCTGGCCCTGTCAGGTAGGTTTTATGGGGCCCCATGATTTCTAAGAGTGACCCAGCTGTGGGGCAGGAGGGGGAGGGCAGCTGTAGATTTAAAGCACAGCTTCAGGATATTAGCAACCGCCCACCCCCTAACTACCTCTGTTATGAAAAGCAAACTATCCAATTGTACCTACCTGAAGCCACGGTCACGTGACTGGCCTTCTCACTTTATATCTTTAATTCCTGAGGTCCTTATTCAGATGTCCACATCACTGCCTGTACAACATGGACATTTCCCATTGGTGGAGGTGATATTTGCAGTGGCTGCGTCCCCTCTCATAGTCTCCAGAGAGAGGAGAACTTATGGGGGCAATAAGGGGACTAGTGCCCAATAGGATATAAAGCAAGGAAATTGTCTGGTCCCCAGGGCAGGAACTTAGCATGACTTATAGAGGAGAATGTGACTTTGATCCGTGACACTGCAAGATGGCTTTGGAAGAGGTGCTTGGAATCAAGACTGAGGAGTAAACTAACTGATGCACAATGCACTGTTTGGATTTCATTTTTGTGTGGAGTTGGGCTGTAAAATAAGTGTTGCATAAAAAGTTATTTTGTATATTTTCTTGGGTTACTTTTTGTGTGTGTGTGTGTGTGTGTGTGTGTTTTTAATGGAGAACAGTTAGAATCTCTGTACAGTTTTATTGCTTTCTGAGACCTAATTGGACCACTTGAGAAGTTATCTCCCCAGTAAGAACACAGACAAGAAAAAACCAACAGCAACGATTCTAATATTTTAGAATTTTAGATTTCTGCTTTAGGTTTACTTAACCATTTTAATACCACGCTATAGCCAAATGACGGCTACAGCACAGTAGTCCAGTTCTGGTAGGGCATCATATGATGTCCTCCCAGACCGCGTCACCCCACTCGCCACCAGTGGCATGCATCTGCCACTGTCTGTGATCTCTGTGTCTTTTGGACACAGCTGATCACATGATATGGTAAAAGGCCAATCACAGAGGCCTGTTGCCACATGATCAGCTGTGTCCAATCACAGCTGACCACTTGATACATACACTTGCCGGGTATCGGCAGTACTCTGCTCACATCACAGCATTAGGTAAGTACTGCCAGTAACCGGCAACTGTAAAAGAAGACATCTGCACTGATAATCAGGGCACTGATTATTGCAGCCCCAAAAGTGCCCAGCAGTGCCCAACAGTGCTGCCCAGCAGTGCTGCCAATCTGTGCCCATCAATGCTGCCAGTCAGTGCT